TATACTAAAATGTGAATTTTTTGGAACTGACTTCGTGTTATAGATTATGTTACCCAGATGCCAACTTTCTTCTTCGGACTGCATAATTTAGTGGAAAAAGCAAAGGCTTGGGGAGTGAAACAGACCTTGGATTTTGTCTTATGCCTAGAATTTCAAAATGCTTATAGGGCAAATCCATTAAAGCCCAGTGACCCTCAGTTTTTCCATTTTACAATTTGAATGATATCCAAATCGTAGGATCATTGTGAGGATGAGATAACGTATATAAGAGTTTATCACGGTGTCCGCCACATGCTAGTGACGTATTAATATTAGTCACAACTTATTTTATTCTCTACTCAGCATTTTTCTCATCACCAGCTGACATCTATTACCTTGCTTCCTCCCCCTTTCTTCTTTCCTTAACAGGATTATATTTTCACAGGTGGTTTGTATTCCCTTAAGATCTCACGCATGCTCACAGGCATGGAAGACACTCGCATAGTATTGATTACTGATATTCGCTATCATTCTCCTCCCCTCAATTACTGGGAGTGGCTTGTGTCACTCGTATAAAAGTGCCCTAGGGAGGAGTGTGCTGAGTGCAGATGGGTGCCCTTTGATGGAAAAAATTGACTCCAGTCAGCAAGAACGGCGTCCTTTTTACAGATTATTAATTCTCCATTTTCCTCCATCCTGAGCCTCAGAGGTTTTAAGCTAGGGCATCGGGCATCATTGCCTTTTTCTTTCTAGTTGGGGCTCTGATCAAACTTTCTAGGTCTGAGTTCACTCCTGGAGGGCTTGGGCGTTGTTGTAAGGCATGCGTTTTTTAATTCGATAAAAATTAAATCTCTTCGGTTAAATCTACTGTGAAATTAAAACCTTGACTCAAACCTGACATTCAGTAGAATCCTTTGAAAGTGTCCTGATTTTACGTCAACTCGAGTGGCCACAGTCGGCCTTGGGCCCCTTTCAAACTTTTCAGGCTCAGCTGCCTGACGGGAGATGCAAGATCATTCTGAAAAGACAGACGTACATTTCCAGGTGTGGAAAGAGCAGGCTGAGGTAGATATTCAGAATAATGTGGGGATAGTCTCTCCTTATATCTGTGTTTTAGGGCCCTTTGTTAAGTAATGTGTGTATTGTTTAGTGACTAGTTACTGAACTGTGTATGCTATGATTCTGCTACTGCTGGGCCCTTTTCTGCTTAATAGTATTAGTTTGTTTGATAAAATTAATAGTACTGACACTGAGCTCCTTTTCATTTTTTTCCTTTGGATGTGAGAACATCCATCTGTGGCGTGTGAAATGCTAGTTAATTACTTTTGGTCTGATATTCTTGGCTTTCTCTAGATACAGAAGTTTAGTATGCTTCCGGAGACGCTTAATTGGTATTACCTGATTAGGGTTGCATTCTCCAGGTAATCTGTTTAAACAAACAGAAGGTTGTTTATTTCCTCCCTTCATAAAATTAAACAAGGCTAAATTTTTAATTTTTGGTAACTAAGAAAATGTCTATGGTTTTTTTTAAAGGTACAGTTTTCTTCATTTTTTAATTGGTAGATTATTTACATGTGGGATAAACGAACACACCTCAGTGAATCAAGACTTATACCAATATTTTATTTATAAGGGTCTTTGTTCCTTATCCATATACAGGGTAGAGTTGGGAGCCTTGGATTCATGCTTCTAGGATTTTTCCTGGGACAAAGTTACCATTAAGAATCTGTTTCTAGACTGCTGACTTTTTAAAAAAGAGACATTTTATTTTAGAATACTTTGGGGTTTGAAGGAAAATTGTGAACATAGTAAAGAGGGTTCTCATATACCCTGCATCCAGTTTCCCCTAGTATTAACATCTTATATTAATATGGTACATCGTTACAATTAATGAACAATATTGATAGATTAATATTAATTAAAGTCCATATTTTACTCAGAATTCTTTAGTTTTTCCCTAACGTCCTTTATCTGTTCTGGATCCCATCTGGGATGCCACATTACATTTAGTTGTCATTCTCCTTGGCCTCCTCTTGGCTGTGACAGTTTTAGGGCATTGACTTTTAGAGTTACGATTGTCTTCGTCCACTCTTAAGACATGACCAAATGTCTGTGATCCTTTCCTTTTCTCTAGTCCTTGCATTTCAGCTTTCAGTTTAATATCTCTCTGTCTCTTGTCCCCCCACCCCTGCCTTTTCCCTTTCTCTGTACCTGTTTATTCTTCTTATCCACTCTCTTGAGATCTTCCATCTTGTGATTTCCCTGTTTTGTTTTTGCCTTAGCTCTGACTTTCTTTAGTGTTTCCCGGCATTGAGTTTTTTCTAAGCTAAAGCCAAAGCTAAAGAACCTTTACTGATATGTGTATTTTTTGTGTGTGTGTGAGGAAGATTTGCCCTGAGCCAATATCTGTGCCAATCTTCCTCTACTTTGTACGTGGTATGCCTCCACAGCATGGCTGATGAGTGGAGTAGGTCCTCACCTGGGATCCAAACCCGTGAACCCTGGGCTATGGAAGCTGAGTGCGTGGAACTTTAACCACTCAGCTGGAGGGCGGGCCCTGATATGTGTATTTCTTGAGTAGACAACTTCTTAATGCGATTTCCTGATTTATCTGTTAATTTAGGATCCAGACAGATATATATTTGCTACATGACTTTGAATAATTAACTTCTTTGAATGGACATTTTCTCGAAAAAACTACCTCTTAGAATCCCTGTGAAGAGTTATAAGATCGTGCTTCAAAGTATACGGCATAGTGCTTACTAGGGTTTTCCTCCCTCCTCCATCCCTCCCTTCTACTCTGTAAGGTTGACTAATTGAATTAAAGATAACCACAAGCTTGGAGTTAACACTTGCTTCTGACTGTTAGCTTATGCTTTGCTTTGATGATGGAGGAGAGTTTTCCTAGAACAGAGGAAGGTAAAATGTTCCCTTACATGTGGCATAAGGGAAGTGGCCTATCTAATTACTTTAAGGAAAACCAAAGAAATGAAAGCACCAACAGCACGGTTTTATAAGTGTAAATACCAAATGAGTGCTGCCTATTGTTTACCTGGAGACCCTTCTGAAATTATTGCCTTAAAATGGCTTAGAGGGTTAGCCTGGATCAGCAACTCCAGCTCAGAAGAAATCAGACTACAAGAAACTGGAGATTAATTAAAATAGAGACAAAGATTATAAGCTATTGCAATGACAGAACCAGATATAGAAACGTTTAATTTGTTCTGATGTGTTGTGGTCCACCCACACATTAGCACAAGGTCTGTTTTAAATGAGTTATAGCAAATGGAACCAAAAACATCATTCTGGTTCTGTCTGTCAAGACCACTTACAACTGAAGCAGATTTCTGCTCTAGAAAATTAACTCCTCATTTTTTCCATCACTTTCATTTTGCATCCTCTGTCTCCATCCAATTGTGTTAATTCTACTCAAACCCTCCACTGGACTGCCTGATCTCCTAACTTAAACCATTTCTTCTCCTCTCCTGAGAACTAGAGGAGAGGTTTCTAAATTTTTTGCAACTTTACTTTTTTTTTTTTGCTGAGGAAGATTTGCCCTGAGCTAACATCTGTTGCCAATCTTCTTTTTGCTTGAGGAAGATTCACCCTGAGTTAATATCTGTGCCAATCTTCCTCTATTTTTTATATGTGGATCGGTGCCACAGCATGGCCATTGACAAGCTCTGTAGGTCTGTGCCCAGGAACTGAACTCAGGCTGCTAAAGCAGAGCATGCCAAACTTAACCACTAGGTCATGAGGCTGGCCCCTTCCACTTTACTTTGAGATCATCCATCTCAAATCTGTTAAGGAATGGCTTTCTGGCCCTCCTGCCTTTTGAGGACCAAAGTCTACTGCTGCCCTTTAGTCAGTTCACTTACACATCTTGCCTTAGGCTGGTGGCTGACACGTGTGTTCTGATTTGGGATAGCTTATCACTGATCACCTCTTTCAATAAGAGCCACTTAATAACATAAGTACATCATTGGAGCACCATTACCTAGATGAGATGGGGCCATACTGCTACTGTGGTTAAAGTCTGTGGAGGGGAAAAGACAAGAGGATGAGTTTATCTATCGTGTTTCCCTCTTGGAGATTTCTTCCATATTTTGCTATCAGTATGCCCTCAACAAAATTCTGTCCACTACCTATGATACAGTCACAGTATCATTTCTCCTCTTGAAGTTTCTGCTCTCATTCTCCTTTCTTAGAAGAGAGACATGTTAACCTTCTGAACATACCCACAGAACTTCTTGTTTTTCAACTATTTGGGCATCTCTCTACAGGTGTGAGGCACTGCCCTTAGGCAGTTCGTTCAGAATTTAAGTGAGCCCATCAGCAATTTCCTCATCCCCTACTGTACCTGGGCTGAATCCTATCTTTAATTAGATGTAGAGATAATGAAGAAATATTTTTTTATACAGTTTTTAAAACTTACCTTTATGGTATTTAGAAGTTTATTTGGCGTTTAATTTATTTTTAGTTTTGTCTAAAAGTGGCTGACTCCGCTAATACTTATAATAATAACTACCTTCCACTAATTGGGACATCTAACTTAATCCTCACAATGACAGCAGATACTCTCATGATCTTGATATGAATGAGAAAACTGAGGATCAAGTAGGGTAAATGTTACTCCGGATTCTACGGCAGTAAGCTTGAGAATTTGAATCGGAATCTTTCAGAGTCATAGCCCTCACCTTCCACCTTTCAGTCTCTGTCATCTCTGTCTCGATCATGATTGGGCTCAGATTTCGTGGGAGTTGTCTGCCCAGCGAAGGGCCTTCCCTGATTCAATCCAGTTGAGGGGCATTGAATCCATACGCCTTCGCTATCAGTGCCTTGTTGTCTCAAGAAGGAAGCGAAGAGAAAACTGAAAGGCCAATATTTAAGAGAACAGCAGACATTGGGAACTTTGGAAAACAGGAGAATTAGGCCGGATGAACTAAGAGGAGCTGGTTAAGGCTCTGAGCACCCAGCAAGGAAGTGCTAATGTGGCATTTAACACTTATGTTTCATGGCAGGTGGCTCAAGTTCAGAAGACTGGGTGTAGTCAGCCAAGAAAATGCTTAGAAACTGAACTTTATCCCAGTTTTAAGTGACTGTGCTGTTTGTGCTCGGTAGGTACATTTTGTTACTCATTCCTGTATATTTGCATAGTTTATATATTTTAAAACTGGATCTTTGTCATCTTTGAGCCTTTCCTTTTCCTTATGAATTAATGGTATGGAGAACACTCCTTGTCTGTTTTTTTCTTTTCTCATGGGTTTTTGACACTGAGGAGATTCTAACTTCTGCGATAGTGTAATAAGATCTATGGACTGGTTTGGATGTCATCCTTCCATTCTCCCCCTTAATGAAATTGTAGTTTCTCTAGCACTTCTGACAAAGTCATCTGGTTTCTGTTTTAGAAGCTCTAGGGGTGGGACATAAAGGCAGGCTAGACTCGAACAGATCTGGGCCTTCAACTCAGTTCCCTTGTACGTACAATGTCTTTGGAAAGTTAATTCCCCATATACAACATGTAGATAATAAGAATATCTACTGCACAGGGATGTGTGTGTGTGTAAGGGGATAACATATGCAGGCCACTCTCAAAACACTGGGACATAGCCATGTTCAGTCGATGTTAGCTTTGTTGCATTTTAGTTGTTCATTTGTAGGCTGAGTTATAATCTTTCTTTCTTTGTCTTTTATCCACCGGTAAGCATTTTATCTGAGTTCACTTTAAAATAAGGTACCTACAAATTTAAAAAGAATCACTTTGTTACTATATTGTGTTTCCTTTTGAGTTTGCTTCTATGTAGGGTTCTGACTTATAAACATGTGATGCTGTCATACTCTTGTCGATTGGCTTTACCTACCCTGGATATTCCAGGGGTAGATCTGATAAATGAACATGGTAGATTTGTTTAGTTCAACTGTTTTTGTCAGTGATAGAATTTTGCAGCAATCCACTTGCAATTTCCTCCAAGAGGACACAGAATCATCCACATTTAATTCTTAATTTTAAGCTCCCATTTGTCTGACTGATCAACTGGATCCTATTTTAAAGTTGGAGCATCTCCAATTGTGTACTGCCACTGCCCAAATGTTGTGCAAGTTATGCGGATAGGTAAGATATGTGACCTATCCTTTTTGAGCTACAATGTGGTAGAGATATAAAATAAGAAAACTCGATTCAGCGTGAAGTGTAATATGAAAAAGAGAAAACACGTGCTACAAAGGTTTCAGAGGAAACGAGTGATATCTACAAGGAGAGAATGAAAAAAGGATTCATAAAGGATATGGCATTTTTGATGGGGTCTGAGAATCAGCATGTAGTGCTAAACTTCAGAGGTATCAATTTTCAAATAGTAACTTGACAGAAATGAAAAGAAATTAACACATTATTATTAGAAAAGGTGTGAAGAAATAAATATTTCCCTTCATATACTGTTGACATAAGAGGACGTTATTACTTTTGGAAAATAATCTGTCTGTCTTTTATTAGAATTTAAATTGTGCATGCCCTTTGACCCGGGAATCCATTTCTAGGAATGAGTTTGAAAAAAAAGTAATAAGTTATAAAGGTTTACATACAATTATATTTATTTCAGCTTTGTGTGTAATAGTTAAAAAAAAGGGAATAAACTGAACGTTCATCTGTGGGAATGGTAAAATAAATTAAGGACTATTTATATTCTAGAATATGAGGCTGTTATTAATATGAATGAAGCAGATCTCTATATAGTGAGGTGACAAGATGCTATGTAAATTATATGAAAAAAGCTAGTTGCAGAATAATATTTATGTATATATTATATAAATATGTAATATGATCTCTTTATAAACCAATTATTTGTCAAATATGTATCATTGTGCATCTAGTTTTTAAATATAAAAGAATATTTAATCTTGAAAATAATTATAAAATTCATTGAAACAGCCAGTATTTATTAACAATGGTTGAGTATGTTATAAAAATATGGAATATTATGGTGAGATTATGCTGCAGTTAAAAGTAATGCCTTCTAATAAAATAAACGTTGTGGAGATATAATGTGCAGTGTGACGACTATAGTTAATAATAGTGTATTACATATTTGAAAGTTTCTAAGAGAGTAAATCTTAAAGTTATTACACGAGAAAAGATTCTGTGGCTGTGTGTGGTGACAGATGTTGACTAGACTTATTGTGGTAATCATTTTGCAGTGTATTCAAATGTTGAATAATTATGTTGTACACCTGAAACTGACATAATGTTGTCTGTCAATTATACCTCAACAAAACAAAATAATGTTTTCTATCTATTGAACTTAAAAGGTATTTTAAGTGACTAAACCTGCATTTTGTCAAAAAAAATGAAAAGAATACAAAAAAATAGAGCCCTGTATATTTTTGTATGTTTATATAAATTAAGGAAAATTCAAGTAGCTATTTGCCAAATCAAACACTGATTACTTATGGATTGACTTAGAAAAAGGAGAGAGAGAACTTTTTATTTTCACACATTTGTATTTTTGGATTTAGCTGTTCACAATCCATTAATTGTCTAATAAAAACAGGATAAAAACTTGGGTCTTCAATTTAAAATAAATAATTAAATGATCTGGCTGAGCTATCATGCAACCTTTCAAAATACTAATAATTAAAAGGGATGGACACTTTGATAGAGATTGCGTTGAATCTGTAGATTACTTTAGGAAGTATGGACATTTTAACAATGTTAATTCTTCCAATCCAGGAGCATGGAATATCTTTCCATTTCTTTGTGTCTTCTTCGATTTCTTTCAACAATGTTTTATAGTTTTCGGTGTACAGATCTTTCACCTCTTTCGTTAAGTTTATTCCCAGGTATTTTATTCTTTTTGTTGCAATTGTAAATGGGATTGTATTCTTAATTTCTCTTTCTGCTACTTCGTTGTTAGTGTATAGAAATGCAACGGATTTTTGTACATTGATTTTGTATCCTGCAACTTGACTATATTCCTTTATTATTTCTAAAAGTTTTTTAGTGGACTCTTTAGGGTTTTCTAGATATAAAATCATGTCATCTGCAAAGAGTGAGAGCTTCACTTCTTCTTTTCCAATGTGGATCCCTTTTATTTCTTTTTCTTGCCTGATTGCTCTGGCTAGGACTTCCAAAACTATGTTAAATAAGAGTGGTGACAGTGGGCATCCTTGTCTGGTTCCTGTTCTTAGAGGGATAGCTTTCAGTTTTTCTCCATTGAGAATATTTGCTGTGGGTTTGTCATATATGGCCTTTATTATGTTGAGGTATTTTCCTTCTATACCCAATTTACAGAAATAGAACAGAGAATCCTAAAATTTATATGGAACAATAAAAAGACCCCAAATAGCCAAAGGATTCCTGAGAAAAAAGAACAAAGCTGGAAGTATCACACTCCCTGATTTCAAATTATACTACAAAGCCATAGTAACCAAAACAGCATGGTACTGGCACAAAGACAGACACACAGATCAATGGAACAAAATTGAGAGTCCAGAAGTAAACCCACATGTTTATGGACAGCTAATATTCGACAAGGGAGCCAAGAGCATATGATGGAGAAAGGATAGTCTCTTCAATAAATGGTGTTGGGAAAACTGGACAGCCACATGCAAAAGAATGAAAGTAGACCATTCCCTTACACCATGCACAAAAATCAACTCAAAATGGATTAAAGACTTGAATGTAAGACCCCAAACCATGAGACTTCTAGAAGAAAACATAGGCAGTACGCTCTATGACATTGGTCTGAGCAGCATATTTTCAAGTCCCCTGTCTGACCGGGCAAGCGAAACAAAAGAAAAAATGAACAAATGGGACTACATCAAACTAAAAAGTTTCTGCACAGCAAAGGAAACCATCAACAAAATGAAAAGACAACCTAACAATTGGGAGAAGATATTTGCAAACCATATATCAGATAAGGGGTTAATATCCAAAATATACAAAGAACTCACACAGCTCAACAACAAAAAAACCAACAATCCAGTTAGAAAATGGGCAAAAGATCTGAGGAGAGATTTCTCCAAAGAAGATATACAGATGGCCAACAGGCATATGAAAAGATGCTCAACATCATTAGCTATCAGGGAAACGCAAATCAAAACTACAATGAGGTATCACCTCACTCCGGTCAGAATGGCTATAATTAACAAGACAGGAAACAACAAATGTTGGAGAGGGTGTGGAGAGAAGGGAACCCTTGTTCACTGCTGGTGGGAGTGCAAAATGGTGCAGCCACTATGGAAAGCAGTTTGGAGTATCCTCAGAAAATTAAGGATAGATCTACCATATGATCCAGCTATTCCACTGCTGGGTATTTATCCAAAGAACTTGAAAACACAAAGACATAAAGATGATCTCACTCATAAGTAGAAGATAAAAACGACAAAAAAACCCCCACAAAACATAGCATTGGAGATTGGACTGGTGGTTACCATTGGGGAAGGGGGGCGGGGGGAGGGCACAAGGGGTGATTAGGGTCACATGTGAGGGAATGCACTATAATTAGTGTTCGGGTGGTGAACATGATGTAATGTATCCAGAATTTGAAATATGATGTACATCCGAAAAAAATAAAAATTAAAAAAAAAAAAAAAGGGGTGGACATAGAATTTGCCCCTGAAATTTGTTTCACCAATAGAATTCAAAATAGAAAGCTATGATCATGTTTAGGTTCTGTAAATTCAAACAATCTCAAAATCATTAATACTGGTTAAGATGAATCATCAAGTTTATGTGTAAACAAGTACCTTCTGTTCCAATTTGTTGGCTAAGTTCACGTATTTCCTCCTCTCTATCCTTAGACATATAATTATACAAGTTTCCCCCGCTATCTGAAAGTAGAGTGTTCCTATGAAATTTTTCTAAGCTGAAATGGTGCAAAGCAAAGAAGCAATTACCACTAATTTATATGAAAAAAATTCTTGAGCGTTCCCAGACCCAGAAAATAACCTACCAAATCACAGCACATAAAACCTGAAGTAACGCATAAACCCTAAAATCACGCTAACATGTAGTAAAAGCAGGAATGATATGATAAACACGCAGCCTATAGAAAGTGGAAACAACGGATGTGCAGTGCCGTTTCACACACCAGGATGGGGAAGACAGCGAGCGCGCTGGAAG